AAGGAGAAGGAGAAGGAGAAGGAGAAGGAGAAGGAGAGAGAGAGAGAGAGAGAGAGAGAGAACTAGATTTTCATACAAGTTGTTCCTCATTGCAACTTCATCGCTTATATGAGAACACCAGGTTTATGAGAAAGAGGGGCAACCTTTGAAACATAATCTCTTCATCAGGAATTTTCATAGAATTTTAAATTTGGGCCAGGATGCTTCAGTAATAATGGAAGCATTCATGCTTTCTTTATATTCCTCAAAAACTCACAAAACAGGAGATTTTGTATCTATTTCACCATATTCACAAGGCCAAGCAAGACATTCTTTAGGCTGCCCTATTCACCCATATGCATCTCCTTCCATAACTGCAGAGCAAAATGATTATCTCAGCTAGATGAAACACTTTTCTATATCTGGAAACTATTCAAATAAGCTGCTGCAGATATATTTCCTTATTTACCAGGATCTCACCATAAAGGAAAACATGGCCCTGTAGCTTGTACAAAACCAGTCTGAGCTGACTCTCTCATTTTCAGTGGAACTTATTTGGGAAAAAAGTACTATTCTTTGGAATTTGGCTTTTGGAAGGAGAAGCATATCCTTGATGTGTAACAGATGTAGCTGAAGATCTTCTGGAATAAAGAACAGCCCATGAACGAGCATTCATTCCTAAGAAATAGGTAGCTTGTATCTATGAGCTGTGCAAATGCCAATTACTGTGCTGTTTCTTATCTTCAAGAATGGGGGCTGGAGTGTGATTGTATCATGCAACTTTTCCCAGTAAGGCCCTGGGAGAGGAGATTCTTTCCATAAAGTGAGACAAAGGGCCCAGCTCTGACTTATGTATTGGGCAGATAGACGTTATTCCTTGATTATCTATGAGACCTTTTCACTGGGAGTATTGCCAATGCTACATACACAAGGTCTTTGCATTATTTCTAAGTTTTAGCTCCCATTAGCCAAATGTTCTCCACTTAGATGTTCTTACCCATTTAGTGAAATTGCCAGAGAAATTATTTAGTGTATGGGAGGATAGAAATGGTACACTGGCCTCTTTGTTTCGGTACCTGGAACAGATTTGTGGGTTTCATAAACTAATGATTATTCTTTTAGGAATATATTCCATGGAGATGGTTCCATTCTCATTAGTCAATTCTCAAAGATCATTATAGTTGGGTTGCTCCTTAATTAAACCTCCCGGGAATCTGAAGCAGTTAAGATAGCAAAATGAAGAAAAATGCTTTCTCTTTTGAAAAATTAAAAATAAAAGGTAATATGGTACTGAAGAAAATTCCATGATCTTCTGACATTCTTTGACTGGAAAAGTGTGATGAACAACCTATGCGACAACAGCATGCAGATATTATATCATCCAAAGAAAACACTTCCTATATGTTGATAAAAGACAGACTGAGCAGGAAGTCATTTTTTCCTTCTGTATTTTATTTTTTTTTAATGGTCAAAAATTAACTCATGGCTTCTAATGATGTATTCCTTCAAATCCCTCTGAACTTTGAAAATAGATTGTATAATTATTTTTAATGGTGGAAAACAAATAGCTACCACAGCAACAAGGGGGGGGGGGAAACCCCAGTAGTGATTATACCATGAGAAAATAATGTACATGCATTGTTGGTGGTTAAAATAAATAAACATAATTAAAAAGAAAGAAAAAAACTTGTTAAAGAAAAAAGAAAAAAAAAGACTAATAAGCTATCCATGTAATATTAGATTTGAATTATTTCAGCCCCTCAGTTTATCATTTAATCTAGATCATATGGTAAATATTGCTTCATCTTTCAGAAGAATAACAGACCCATATCCTGCATTCACTCCTTGGTATCAAGAGAATAATTTTATTTCCATTTACATAAGATTATCCTCTGTGATGAGTCCCAGACTTAGTACATCCAAAGTTCTTCAGAAAATGACAAATTCTTTATTTTAGGAATATAGTTTAAAGGTCACGTTTTAATCTTGAATTATGATATTGCTTTCCAAAGTTGTATTAACATGCTATGATTTGAAACCAAAACAAAGCTATGGCTGGACACAACCAAGTCGTATGAATTAAGGAAACCTTAAATTGCATACAATGCCAACACGCACAAAGAAATATCTGCTGTCTAACCTTTTTAAAACATCCTTTCAGAGGTCCAATAGACATAAAATATCCCCCATGGAATTAATTTCCTTCTTAAGTCATATGAAATACATTTTATATTTCTTAAACCTGGACCCATTGATTTTCCAAGATCAGGTAGTCTAATTCTTAGTTTCACAGTTCAGATATGTAACTGATACTAATTTTAATTCTGTTTTTTAAATTCCTCATAAAATTGAACTATTGATTTCACTTCAAGTGTTCCCTCTCTTAAGGATCCTACAACTGTAGATGATGAGGAAGACCACAAAGAGCAGAATCTGTTTGTTTCGTTGATCATTGAGTTCCAAGAAGTGAACTGTGTTCCAGGGGTGAAGTTCTCAGCTGTCATCTTAGCATCCTGCCTATAGAGTAGAAATATTGATGGACAATTAGGAAAACAGAGAGAGAAGAGGAGGGAGAGAAATTGCAACATCCAGTCCTGTTTTACAAGCTCAGTCCAGAGATTTTGGGGTTACAATGCATGTGTCTACCAAATCTCGATACTACTAAAGCTCTCATGTCTATAACCTTCAACTGGGCAAAATGATGTGTCATAGGGCAACAGTTTTTGAACCAAGGTACCTCAAATGGGCTAACTTACAGAATGTGTCCAAATTCTGGGACTCGTTGCTCCTGTGGAATTGACTTTTGGGAAATCTGTAGCTGCTTCAGCTCTGCACTGCAGCAGTCAGCCCAGCTCATGTGATCATCATGGGCATATTCCTGACCTCTTTCCCATCTCCCTCTGTCCCCTGCACCCAATTGGCTGGTGGCAAGGCCTGATGGGCAAGTGGCGATTGGCTGCTTTGGAAACAAGGCAGAAATTTGAAATCTCTTAATGGCAGTTAGCAGTGAGGGAAGGATGAGGGAGTAACTTGGATGCCTGCTGGTGGTTTAGGGCTGGCTGGGGGGTGCTGGTGGTCAATGGGTGAGCTTTGTTCCTCCCTCGAGGAAGAGGGCCCTTGGGGACATGCTGGAATGGGGAGCGGGGGTGCAGTTTTCCTCACAGTCCACAGCATCCTGTGTTCCACCTCCCCCCAGGAAAGTGACAGGCAGTTCTGCTGGTCAGCTGAGGAGAAGGAGGAGGAGGAGGAGGCAGCAGCTTCACTGGGGCTCTCCTAAGGGTGGCAGGGGGAGGGCAAATGGCGCAAGCTTATATTGTATGTGGAAAGGAAGGAAGGAAGGAAGGAAGGAAGGAAGGAAGGAAGGAAGGAAGGAAG